TCGTCAAAGAGGAAAGTAAAGTCGATCCTTCGAATATATGTGCTAAACAGTTATGGTATCTCTCTTTATGTCCTGGGCTCGTCACTTATCCTATATCCTCGTATCACCCTTTCAGTATCACAATTTCTTACTTGTATATTTAAACATATTTTAAACCTATTCACACTCCCTGCTGGTTTCCACATCCCTCCAACTGTGCCGGAAGTGTTGATACAGGGCCGCGGTTTAATCCGGAATCCTCTCTCTTCGGGTTCTATCAGAGTCCCTTTTTGATTCGTAGGATCCTTCCTTTATCTGCCTGTTCCACTGATTTCTCTCCATCACTGCCACCGTATCCGTTCTACTCAAGGCGTTGTTTTACACTCTTTATCAAGCCTTTGATAGCCCCACTAGCCTTACTGAGCAAGCCCCTAAAGTCTGGATTCACATTTGGCATTGTGACCTAACTTGAAGATACAGATTCTCTTATCGCTGTGTGGCGTGTGAACGCAGCAAGTCTCGTGGTCAAGCCTTTTGTGTCCCGAAATCCAGTATAAATTGACAGAAAGGCTGATTGTATATGGTGGAAATATAAGAAAATCAAAGCCATTAAAATCCTGACTGAAAGAAAACTAATGAACAGGAAACTTCAAGAAAGCAGGATTAGCGAAAACTCTACATACCGCCTAAGCACTCGAAAATCAGGGAACAACAATATCAGCAAAAAGAAGACGACTGGAGAAAGGTGATACTTTTTATTTTAGGAAAAGAAATTACAAGGAGATCAGAGAGGAATAATCGGAACCAATAGAAGACGTCTAGAGTAAGCCTATTCAAATGAAGTAGAACCAGCACATTTTGGGGTTGGGACTCAATAGAATGTCATAGAAGAGCGAAAGAAACGGTAATTGGCATTTTTAGTTGGCTATTAGTAGATAGGCTTGTTCATAGACATGGTCCATGAAGTAAAGGCTTGACTACGAGATTTAGTCGGTGCACATGTCGCACAGCAATAAGAGAATTTGCAGCGTCAAGTTAGGTTGCAATGCCAAATGAGAATCCAAACTTTAGGGGCTTGCTCAGTAGAGCTGGTGTATACGTGCTAGCAAAGGCTTAAGGCAGAGTGTAGAACAACGCCTCAGGTAGCATGGATACGTTAGCAGCGATGGAGTGAAATCACTTAAACGGACAGACAAGGAAAGGATCCTACGAAGCAAGAGGGTACTCTGATAGGACCCGAAGAGAGAGGATTGCGGATTAAACCGCAGCCTTGGATCAACACTCTAGGCACAGTGGGAGGAATGAGTAAACCAGAAGGGGAGTGTGAATAGATTTCATATAGGTCTAAATAAAAAGTAAGAAATTGTGATATTGAAGGAATGATACGAGGATATAGGTTAGGTGAATAGCCCAGGACATAAGGAGAGATACCACAAATGTTTAGTACACATTTGGTCAAAGGATCGACTTCACTTATGTCTTTAACGAGTTGTAGCGAATTGCTAAGAATGGCAAGATTTACTGACGATACCGACTATGATTCCGGCGAAACGTTCTGGGAATATACCACGTCCACGGCTCGACTGGAAATTATCATGGATACTATTGACTTCGGACAAGATGTGTTCCTCTAGGTCTTCCTGCCAATATGACCAAGTTGCGAAACAAGATTAAACAACCTATATAAATAGGCAAGCCTGAGCTGAATAAGTCGCAAGGTCACAAAGTCGCAAAGGTATTCGACACCTATAGATACTAAATACAAAGACCAAGCCAAGTTGCTAAATTAGATGTATCCTTCGAAGAAGGGCATTGATTACAAGATGAGCCATGATAGCATCTTTAAAATACCAGGTAATGCGTTAATAAGCATTGGTTTGGGAAAAGACATATAAGTGCGCATATACAACAGAGCTGACCTGACATTCAGACTGATTGAGTAGCTGGATGAGACCGTTAATCCGATTGCGAAGACAAGAATTCTCTTCCCGATACGCAAGCGCCTCGGCCTCTGCTTCCCGAAGCCAAAGGTTATCTTCATTCTGTGAGCCCCGCATTTCTAAAGAGCTCGTACCCTTGTTGGGCCTATCAAGAAGCTGATCAATGTGGACAGTGGTCCGGCCAGTCGTAAGAGCAGGAGTTGTGGCGGATAATAAGGTAGAACTTGCCGATCCTTCAGCCTCTGGAATGCCAGAGACCAACCTGGATAAGCTATCAGCAGAATGGCCTGAAAAATGGGAAAAAATTGTAGAGAGGATTCAAAAAGAAAATATGAGCACATTGAAGGGTAACTATACATGGACATTTCCATCATATCAAATTCATCCAAAATTTAGAATTACAAGTAGAAAAAGCGAGCGTATCAATAAGGGTGCATTTCTCTTTATACTACGCGTCTGCGAAAAATGGCTGATAGACACGACTGACTTTATACTTCATACGAGGCAGGAAAAACTGTAAGGTCATAGTTAATAACATCAGATCTATGTCAATTTTTATGCCATTTTATGAAGACTTTCATTTAGTATGAAAGTGCATGATGAAGAGATTTGCAGGTTAATCTCACCAGAAAACCCTGGCTGATCTTCTTTGTACTGTAACTACATGGCTTTAATAAAAATTTCAAGTTGATTCAGTCAACGAGATATCCTCCAACGTTTCGGACAAAGAAAGGTCGAGCTTTCGTTCGTCGTATAACGAACATCATCAGAGCTGGGAGTCATTTTTGCAAAAGCCTCAAGATATTTCAGGAAATGCTTCGAAAACCAAATTTTCTTCGTATATACATTTTTATGCCTTAAGACCGTGAAGAATGGTAAAGAGTCTTTCCATGAAAGGTGGATATCGACAATTTTACTCTGAGATTTAATAAGAAATCAGTGCTAATCGTAGACAATGGTAATTTCCATGTCTATCTTTTGGTTTAAGGGGCATCATCTGACCGGCGAAACTAAAAATGAAGAATAAGACTGAAAACGAGACATAAAGGCTTTGAGACGACGCCTCGTCAGATTAAAATCCTCGATATGATGATTAGTTAGAGGCACACAAAAGCAATAAAGAACTTCGAGAAAAGGAATATACATAAGATTTACATGTTGATAAAGCAAATAGCATGGAGCCTGAAATACAAAGAACTGTCACAAAGAAAAATATATGAGAAGAAAAGTTGGGTTCCGAGGAATCTCTTGTTTCATAATTGTTGAGATTACTTCCATTTCGAGTAAAAGTGTTGGGTGAGGAGATTCGAAGGTCGGTTCCACCAGAAGATGACGTAAGATTCCTCTTGACCAGCTGTCGATTGGCTTTACTAGAAGATTAATGCTGACGCTGTTTCCGAGGCAATCTCCTTCGATTCCAGTGAAAAGGTGATAAGCTTTCGTTATTCATATGACGGACCTCATCAAAGCCAAGTAACATCGTCACAACAAAATTCAAGCTAACGAGTCAAGAAACCTCTATTTACTGTCTGAAGCTGAGAATTATAATAACGACTAAAGCAGAGAATTCCGGACAAGGTGCGTTCAATTAAATCACCCTGACAACAAAAGCAAGTTACGAAAACGAGGTCGACCCACTACTACAAATCGAAAAGAGACGGCGACCACAGCAACTTGGTCTTCATACATTCATGGCTGAGACTGGCTATTTTGCATATTGATGATCAACTTTTAAGTTCATGAATCATAGCATAACTTGTCGTATCCGATTTAGCTGAGGCACCATAACAAATAAAGCGATTTCCTAGTCTTTATGCATTCACGACTTGTGCATATCATATATTTTTGGCCACTACTAAAGTTTTTTTAATTTAGAAATTAAAAATCATTACACGATTGATTTGCCTCATGTATAATCAGATCCGTATTGATATTTACAAGTATATATATATATATATACATTTATTTATGCAAAGAGCTGAATAATTAAATGTGGATATAGATGAAAAGTGAAAAGATAGCTGGTAAATGAGGTAATAAACAGCGACTCACCTCGCCGGTTTTTAATGATATTCTTGCGAAGAAGCGAAGGTTTTGCAGAGCAGTTGCCCATTTCTGAGTCAGCAGTGTGTTGAATAAAAGACATCTCACCAAGTAATTTGTCATTAAGCAGCTTGGCCTACATTCAAAATTCATGAAGATTATAGGAAAGAAGAGTAGTGGTAGTAGTAGTATATATAAAGTATATACAGAATAGTGTATATAAAAATTCACTATAATGTATGTATAAATTTATGAATATCAAGTAACTAAATAGACTATCAGCATTTTAAGCATATATACAAATTGTAGACACACACACACATGCACACACATATATATATAATTAAAATGTATAAGCAAAAGATATCTGAATGTGGCTCTGTAAACGACCTTGCTATTTCCAACTTGCCAAAATACACAACAAGCTCTCGTATTTAATCTAAAACTAAGGCAAAGCACATATCAATACATTCACGTGCAATCTATTTAAACAAGCTGGTATGAATAAATAAAATAGTCATTACTTTCTAATCCCAGATTCAAAATTAAAATGTCTTATAACGACATTAAAAGAGATTATATGTAGCAAAATTATGTATAATGAGTGCTAAGAAGTTGTTTGATTTTAACTAGAGGCAAATCGAAGCGTCAGAAATAAGCAGTAGCAATTATAAAATATAGATGTATATAAGTGATCTAACCTCATTTTCTCAACTTGGTCATGTCCTCAGTGACCTCTGCTATAGTATATAGCATAATTCCTAGCGTCAGAATGTGAACTTGGTACATCCCAGAGGTTTAACCGGCATCGTCAATGAGTCTCGTCATTCTCAGCACCAGGCTACAACTAGTCTAATAGATATGTCTTTTAGTTCTGACTCATTGACGATGCCAGCGAAACGTCTTGGAATGTGCCAAGTCCACAGTCCGACGCTAAGAATTATGATAAATACTATAGCAGAGGTCTTCAGACATAGCGCGTCCAGCTAAGTCGCTCTGGCGACACGACCAAGTCGCGTAAACGATATCAGTCCACTTATATATATCGAAAGGAGACTAGGACCGAAATAGTTGGCCCTTATGTCCATAAATATATATTGCCATAAAAAATTCCAGTGTAACCAAGTAGGCCTCAGAAGACATTTTCAATGTACGAACTTCATAAATGAGTAGACTATTATAAAAAGTAATGTGAAGGCGATCGGGTATAACCCTACGGAATACTACACTAAGAAGCTATCAAAATCGTAGAAACAATGAGATCAATGGCCACAAAATATCAGACAACTTATTCAGGGCCTTTTTATTCGGATAATTTGATGAATATATTCTTGCAACATGTTCTATAAAATAGCCTCTGATTTATTTCTAGGCCAAAGTGAGTTTATGAATGGCTAAACGCACTCAAGATTTCCATCACATATCTAATAAAATGCCATTACGTATTCACTGGAGGCTGTAACGATGCGAAGAAGATTATCTTCAATATGTCTAGATTAAAATACACATAATTCCAAAGTCAATCATCAATAATCTTCAGACAACTGATAAACGAATCATCTGCACCATCTTGTCACAAAATATGCAAGCGCACTGAAAATCAGTAAGCTGATTTGTAATAAAAATAGAGATCCAGAAAAGAAACAAGTGTCGAAGTATTACAAAACGAACGAAGACTATAGAATTTAACTGTAAACATGGAAAACAAAATGGTATCGTCATAGGTAAAGTGGGGCTAAGGGAAATAAATACAGCACTAGAAGCTATGAAAAAAATAGGGATGAAGAATGGAGGTTCAAAAGAAAATTGGACGAGGAGATTGCCTCACTTGTCACTTTGATAGGTTGCAACTCTGTACTGAGGATGGTGCCTCCCACTGACGATGCCGACTACCAGCCGGCGAAACGTCTGGGAATGTACCATGTCAATACTCAGATGCTCGAAATTATCAAGAAAATTATGGGAGAGGAGCAGGGCTAGATAGGTATCACAAGCTCTTTCGATGGCCACGACTAAGTTGCGGAAAAGAGATTAAATCAACACGATACTAATTTTGCTTAAAAAAATTGGGACAGAAATTAGATGGCTTTGAGCTTAAGTTTAAACATCTTTAGATGGGAAAAGAAATCTATTGATTAAAGTCAATGATATTTTCTAAATGGTTTATAGAATTTCTCTGAAAACAATACAAGGAAAAAGTATGTACTTTATTTTTTCAACTCAACAAGCTTCAATAATTAAGTAGTTATACGTAAAGAAAATGATAAGAGTATTGTGTCAGTAGAATTTATCTTTAAGACTTCAACCAACGCATTTTTACAAAAGGTAGAATGATGTTAATAAATTACTTAAACTACCTAAATATTAAACTCATTAACAAATTAATTAATTATATGAGATTCATTTACCTTATTTCATTTAAGGTGATGAAGAACTGGTAGTAGAATTTTCCAACAATAATATGAGTAGAGCTGACGTTTCCATTGAATTTCACATTGTCTTGCTTTCCCAAAAGTTGTTCTGATCCAGGGTGGACTGCAGTTTCGACATCGCATCGGTCTTATCAACATACCAACGAGATTCGAACCGTGACAGTGCAGAATGTGAGTTTAACACGTTAACCACTCGTCCTTATTGTCACGAATGCCCTTGGGTCACAGGGCAGATGTGAATTTCGAGGAAGGCCAGGCCTTTTTCCATATTACATTCTTTGGTGGGAATGTTGATGAAGCAAACGTATTTTTGCTATAACAATCGACTACATTACTTATTCTTCATATAAGCAAAGTTTCGAGACTACTAGTAAATCAGCTATATGAGATGTGTTCACCCTACTTCGTTTAAGGTGATAAAGGACTAGGAAAATTCTTCTACCAGTCCTTCATCACCTTAAATGAAATTGGGTGAATACATCTTATATAACTGATTTAATGGTAGTTTCGAAACTCTGCTTATACTAAAAAGTAATCAATTATCGAATGCAAGCCTTACTGAATTAAAGATTCTAATATAAAAAACAGATTCTCACATGATTCAGCTTATTTTGCAATGCATTACGTTCGGCTGTTAAGTCACGCACATTTGCCTTGATCTGAGAAAAATAAAGTGCAAGACAAACATAAAAATTGAAAGTATAAGGCGGCAATATGTATTCTTGTAATTAATGTGACAAAAAATAGCAATCACCGTGATTAATCGGAAAAAGCATCCACAAAACCCCTTTATAATGGACAGAACATCGAAGCTAAAAATTAAATATTTATTTTATGATAATAATGTTCAAACTGTTAAGATTTGTTAAGTCTTCCAGAAAGTTATGATTTTAGAAGTCTTGTAAGAGCAAGTTCTACAAATATCTAGGAGTAAACTTGATAGCCTATAATGTCTAACCCGTTACTAACAAGGATAACATATTAACTTCAGTGAAGTAAAGTAGGCCAAAAGTATATAATTCGCTAGCTCTAAGTAAATATATCTAAGGAACTGTTTAACATAGCATCTGAGTGGCAGGAAAATTTAGGTAATATGCTAATATGCCTTTACTAACATCTAAATATGTGAGAAAATCCGACGCACCTCAGTAATAGGTATAATTAGGAAAGATTTTAAGGAGGAAGCGAATAGACTCTCCAGATGCACACAGAAAAGTTGTGAAAACAAGAATAAACTAAAAGTTGATGTAATAAAACTAGGTCATAGTATATTGCCTTCGGAATCACCATTAAATAGTAGATTTTTGTTTATCTAAAATTTACAGGCATCTGCACTGCTTCCGATAAGAAGCTGTCTACAATAATTCCAGATATATATATGATCAAAAACCGTTATTTATCAGTGCTTTAACAAAAAGTTAAATGAAAACATTTTTCTCTTTGAATGGCTTTTAGGCCTCTGCTTAAGCAAGAGTGATAATAAAATCATAGGACAAAATAGGTTTAAGAACAAAGCATT